GTGGCAGCGGTAGTGAGGTTGGCCCAGGATCGAACATTGTTTCGTTCTGCTGTGCATGGGGTCGCTGTGAGTCGGTTCCGACTCGATGGCACATGACAACAACAACATGTTGCATTTGAGATGCAGAGTAGACATCCCTAGGAGGCACATGCCTATCTGAGTCAAAGAAAAGTCTGGGCAAGAGTTGAGAACTTAAGAGTCATTAGTCTCAGATGGCATTTAAAGCTCTGAGTCTGTACAAGAGCACCCAGAGAAAGAATTTAGAGAAGGTCATGATTGCCCATGAGGCCAGGGTTCAGACAGTGGTCCTGGGTTACCCATCAGCAGGAATGCACATCTTCTTCCCAGGCCTCATTTGTAGATATGTATTTCATGGAATGTCTTGAAGTTGTAACTTCCTTTATTCATGCCTCAGCTTCTCCATCAGAAAACTGGGAGATGAAGGATCTAGATCAAGGCTGCCAAGGATGGCATTTCTTGGCTTAAGGTCTGCCTCTTTTTCCAGGTTTTGAGGTCTGATCCTAACAAGGCTAAGTGGTGCCCACAGAAAATGAGGGTCTAGGCCATGCTCAAGAGCAGTCACAAAAGGCTTGGGGCATGTTATAAGAGGTAGAACTGAATGTTCAAGTAAATAATTATACTCCACACACTAGAAAGGATCAGAAGAAATGGCAAGAAAGGGAGAGGGGAGTGAGAGAAGAAGAAAGAGAGAGGCTTAAAGAATAGAGATGGAAGGAAGATGGGATGGAAAATAAGAAAGGAACAGAAGACAAGGAATAAACTGAAAACGGGAAAGATGAGAAAGAAGTGGAGAGGCAGTGGTTGGGGAGGGGTGGGAGCAGTGGCAGCCCTGGGCATCAGACTCTTTGGGAAGAGAAGGAGGATAGATGGGGCAGAGAACCAATCCTTCAGGACCTAGTGGGTTGCCCTGCAGACCAGGGCTGCTGCTCTGAAAGGGAAGACAGTGATGTTCTAAGGACAAAAGAAGAGAGATGGATGGGGACGAAATCTCTGAAAGGACTCCCTTGGGGAGCTAAACTTGAGTCTTGATGGATTGTCACAGATGGAGAGGAGGGTGTGGGAGGGCAAAGGTAGTCCAGGCATTAGGAACAGTAGGAACCACAGGAACCAGCCCCAGAGGTGTGAACATCGCTGGCATATTCGTGCGGGTGAACGGAGGTGCGGCTGCAGCGTAGGGTGGGTGTTGACATGTCTTGAGAAATCAAATCTCCAGGGAGATGTGGGAGGACAGCTTCCTGAAGGCATTGTGGACTTTGGAAAGAGAGAATGGCAAACAGATTCTAGCCAGCACTGGGTCCAACTTAACTCTTTCAAGACCAAATTATTTTCTGATTTTAATTTTTTGTTGAAGCCATGTGTTTTTGGTAATGAAAGACGTTTTGAATGAAATAAACATTTAAAAAAATTTTTTGAGACAATATGGATGTGGATACACTTAGTGGGACACATATGTCCCAAGGGATCTCTAGTTCTGGGGTGGATAGGATGAGGCCCGTCTTTGCAGATTACATAGGCCCCCACCAAATGACAGCACACACTAAAAGTAGGACAGTTACTTCCCACTAAACTTTAGGGGTAGAAAATGTAGGTGGGTATTATATGTCACGTGAATCACAAAAGAATTAAAAGGTATTTCTTTTTTCTATAGGTGAAGCTAAGAGAGCAAAATTCTAATACTGTAGTTGTTACGTGTCAATCAGTTCTGACTTATAGTCACCCTGTATAGTGTTGTCAAGGAGCATGTGGTGAGTTTGAACCGCTGACCTTCTGGTTCAAACAGACCTTTTAGTGCAGTGCATATCCTACAACGCCACACCAGTAAGCATTTGCAGCACTTTCTGTGTACAAGGCACATCTAAACCACTCTATCTATAAACAGCATCAATCCTCATGACAAACCTACGACGTGACACTATTCTTCATTCTGATACTATTATTTAATCACCATTTTATTGACGAGGATTGTTATTATTGGCTACCCTTGAATTGGCTCCTGACTCTTGATGACCACATATACAATGGAACAAAATGCTGCCCAGTCCTGGGCCATGCCCATGTTCAGTTGTGAATCTGACCATTGTGATCCACAGAGTTTTCAGAAGTAGATTTTCAGGCCTTTCTTCCTAATCTCTCTTAGTCTGGAAGTTCCACTGAAACCTATTTATTATCACAGCAACACACAAACCTCCACTGACAGGTGGTAGTTGTGCATGAGACACAATGGCTGAGAACAGAACCCGAGTCTCTCATATGGAATGCAAAAACAGTACCTCATCTACGAAGATGCCAAAACCAGAAGCAAATTCATTGTTGTTGAGTCAATTCTGACTCATAGTGACCCTACAGGACAGACTCGAACTTCCTCAGAGGGTTTCCAAGCTGTGATCTTTACAGGCACAGACTGCCACATCTTTCTCCCATGGAGAGGCTGGTGGGTTTACGTCAGCAACCTTTCAGTTAGCAACTGAGTGCTTCAGCCATTGAGATACCAGGAGTCCTTAAAGGTGAGGATACTGAGGGTCTCCTTCAAACCCTAAAAGGAGAGCAGAACTGGGGTAGAGTTATCTAGAATAGGAAAATGTACCTTAAATACCCCTTCCACATATGCTCACTCAGACACACAGGACATCACAGCTCTGTTAAACAAAAGGTCTCACCTAATACTGAGCGCATGTGTCAGCATCTGTTTGAATGGTGGAAATACTGTGATGAGGAAGACAGACAAGATCCTGGCCTCACGGAGCCTACACTTCATTGAGAAGAGACAGTCAGCAAGTAAACAGGTCAAAACAGTACAGATTGTGAAAGTACCATGACAGAAATGGACAGAATGATGGGAGAGAACGCTTTAGATCCAGTGGTCTAGGGAGGTCCTGTTTGAGGAGGTAAAATTGCAGTGATTTCCAGAGCACAGGGATCGATTCCAAATGGAGAGACTGGCAAGAAGCAGCCTGCGTTGTAGACTTTGGCAAGGACTTAGGATTTCTTCTCTAAATAATGGGAAAGCCACAGCAGGGATTTAAGCAGAACCTAATTCAGGAAGGAAGAGTTAATAATGATGGCTATCTGGGTAGTGGTCAAGAAGGTGGAGACAATGGACAGAGGATGAAATAGTATACCCACCCTCCCCCACCCCCCTAGGACTTGCTGGTGGACTGGATGTGAAAAGACAAAGGACTTGAGTCAAAAATAGTTGGTGTCATTTACTGAGACAAGAGTGTGGGTGAAGGACAGGCATGGAGGGTGGAGAAACATCCATCTAATCAGGAGTTCCCTTTTGAACCTCTTAGGTAGCAGATGCTGGAGACATCCAGGTGGGATGGCAAGTAAACTGTTGGAGTATGAGATGAATTCTGAGAACATGGGTCCCGATGCCTTGGCTTAGTCTCTGGGTGTCACAGATGGTTAGAGGTTCAAAACCACACTAAAGTCCTGGCAATCCATGTCTGTAAAGCTTCCAGCCAAGAAAATCCTGTGAAGAAGTTCTGTTCCATAGCACATGGGGTCTCCATGAGTGAGAATCTACTTGACAACAGTGGTTTTTGGTTTGGGGTTTGTCTTGGACTGTGGGCTGGTAACTTCCAAAAGAACTGCCCACATGAACTCAACCTAATTCAGGGTACCTGTTTTCATCAGCCCACACTCTCCCCATCTTAACTCCCTCCAGGCTTCTCTTTACTTCAGCACTTGTGGGATGTCCAGATGTGGCTGTGGAAGGGCTTAGAGAAGAAAGAAAAGGCTTCTCGGTTTCTTTCATTTCTGTTGTAACTATGGATCCCTGGCATCTCACTCTTCATTCTCCCCAATCTTAGAGCCAAACCCTGGCGGGGGTGGATTTTGCTGGATGCTCCCAATGACCCTCTAACCCCTATCTTTCTGCAGGTGAATGTGCCCTGAGTCCTGGTGTTGGCTGCCTCTGTGGACTGAAGGCCTGCGAATGTGACAAGCAATCTGTGTACTGCTTCAAAGAGAGCCTGTCCACCTATGAGAAAACCTTCAAGCAGTTCTTCTCCAGCCGGCCCCGATGTGGCAGGCGCAAGCTCCAGTGCTAGGGGGCTATAGGGTCCTCTTTGATGTTCAGCATCTGCTCCAATATCACTCTTCTAGGGAGCCTTCCAGATTACCCCCACCAGGCCCCAGTCCTTCTCTCAGTAAAATGTCTCCCTCAAGGGGCAGCTTACCCTGCAACATTCTAGTGCAGGGTCCTCCTGTCTTCCTTGATGCTCGGCTCTTGGGAACTAGAGATCAGGAATGAAACAGACTAAATCCCTACCCAGAGGGACCTTGTGTTCATTTTAGAGAGGGAGCAGACCATAATACATTCAGAAAGTAGAAAGTGCTATGAATAAAGCCATGTGGGGAAGAGGCATCCCGAATAACCCATCTCTGGACATTTCTGGAAAGGAAGAGGCAATAAGATCTATCCAGAACTCTTCCTCCACCCCAACCCCAAATCAGAATGCAGGGCAGACCTGGAAGCTACCCCTACAATCCAGATCTAGCTGGGACCAAATCAAGTTGAGCAAAGGGGTTGGTGCACACTCAAGGGACCCAAAAGGCACACTTAGAGTTTGTTTCTCATCTGCTCAAGGTCTGCTTTGTGTAACCCCCCAGATAGGAAAACATGGATACCATTTTCATCTCTCAGGAGGCAGAGCATCATGAGAATAGCAGTCTCCCGCTGCTGCCATGTGGATGACATGACCAGAAAGAAGCCACAGTTAGCCCCAGTGGTCAGTTGCTTTTGGCTGGACTATGTATGCCCAGTGGGAAGTAGAATCTTGGCAGAGTCTGAGTAGAACAAGAAAGAAGATACCAGAAAAGAGAGAGAGGAAGAGATTTAAAAAGAAATGGAGGAAGAGGAGATGGGAGAGGGAATCAAATGTAGCCAAATTTTCCATTCAGATTTAGAATCCCTGGTTGCATCAGACTTACATTCTAATAAATATTAAAGTGATGCAATTTGGGTAGATTCTGACCTTTAGCGTGCCTGACTGGTATAGCACATTGCAAAAATGACCACAACTGTTCTTGTCTCCCTTTAACTTTGCCTTCACAGTGTAATAGAAGTAGAGTTTTGTTCCCCACCCCTTGAGTTTGAACTGATCTTGCGGCTTACTTGGGTTAATTGATTAAGTAGAGGAAGTGATGGTCTACCAGTTCCAAGTCTAGGTCTCAAGAGGTCTGGTGCACTCTCTTTGGTCTCTGTCAGAACAAGTCTGGGCTAGCCTGCTGGAACACTAGAGCCCGTGTGTCTCAGAATTGGGTCAGTCCAGTTATCGCAGCTAAGACCTCAGATGAGAGCCTAGCCAAGATCAGCAAAGCTTGTCCATAGCCAACCGCAGACACATAAGAGAACCAAGCTGAGACCCAAACAACTGCCTAGCTGAGACCAGCCTAAACAGCTAACATGCAAAATTGTGAACTAAATAAAAGTTGCTATTTTAAGCTACTTAAGTTCTGATGTGGTTTGTTAAACATCAATAACTCACTGGTCTAATTGGTCTTTACTGATTGAGACTGCTAAGTTCTTGGGTTATGGAGAAACCTGTTTTCCTCTAAGGACCATCATATATTCATTCATCCAACCAATATGTATTGAAAACCTACTCCAAACTAGGCCCTGTGCTGTTGGTTGTTGTTGTTAGGTGTCACTGAGTCAATTCCGACTCACAGTGACCTTATACACAACAGAATGAAACACTGCCTGGTCCTATGCCAGCCTCATAATTGTTGTTAAACTTGACCCCATTGCTGCTACCACTGTGCCAATCCATTTCACTGGGGGTCTTTCTCTTTTTTTCTGACCCTCCACTTTACCTAACATGATGTCCTTCTCCAGGGACTGGTCCCTTCTGACACTATATCTGAAGTAAGAGAGACGAAGTCTGGCCATTCTAGTTTCTAAGCATTCTGTTTGTATTTCTTCCAACATAAGCCCTGTGTTAAGGGTCCAGAAATAAAGATGCATCAGACCCCAAGGAGTTCTCAGAGCAGGAGCAGATGTTAACTAAACAGGCAGTTACTAAATAGTGAGAAACTTTGGAATTGAGGTCAGCATGAAGAGCAAGGACCACAGTCTAGAAGGGTTAGGGAAGGTGGCCAGAGGAATGCTGAGGTCGAACATCTCTTTGATACCTGAAAGGCCTGAAAAAAGGTGAGGAGTTAGGAAGGCCAGTGGGGATGTTCAGAGTTTCCTAGGTATAGTGATGGAAGAGAATTCAACTTTCACAGATTATAAGTCCATATCCACATATCTTTCTCCATCATAGCCAATGGTCCCTTCAGTCTCCTACTTGTTCAGGCCAAAACCCTGGACATTGACCTCTTTGTCTCACATCCCACATCCAACCTATTGGTTGTTGTTGTTGTTGTTGT